TATATGTATGTATGTATACATATATATATATATATATATGTATATATATTCTACAATATGCTCATTGACTATGTCAAATACGGAGGGTGTGAACCTCACCAAGTCATTTGGTATACAATAACCACACGTCCCTTTGAAATTCTATTTCACGGTTTATTACATGACTTCTCGAAAGAACATACTTAATACTTCCCTTTTGTAGTAGGAAATCGGTTGACAATAGAAAACAGGAGATCACTTTATTCGTGTCATCACTATTTTGGCGGCACCAGTCTACCAATCGCATCGCAATAATTCATTTTATCATCATGCAGAACATACATAAATGATTGAATCGTATACGTTTTAACGTAAATCCATACTCAACCCACCCCCCCCAGTGTATATGAAACTAAATCTACACGAAAGTTCTACATAATATTGCATAACGTTCAACTTCAAAAAAAATGCAAAAACGATCAATCAAAAACGGTGGTTAGAATTAACACGCTGCCTGTGTAGTGTGTAACCTCCTGCCACCTGATGTCTGGAATCTTTATAAATGTTATATGTTTACTATTTAAATGCCTACTTACTTACTTACGTATACTTAGTTAGTGACTTACTTGCTTACTTACTGACGATTGACTTGAGTCATGGGGTATGTACTTCAACAGTTTTCTCATGAGCATTCAGTAGCAACGCGTGCATTGTGGAGCCTAGCTACCACTTCAGATCTCACTCCATCTACCTGTGAATAGTTTCCAGGATAACATTTGGTTTCTAGGAACTCGTTATATATATACATATATAACGTGTGTATTCAAAGTCTCTCTCCCATGTACAACGATGGAAGTCGAGTGTATCATTATTGACAACGAGACATGCGATGGCGACGATAACAATATAACCCTGGAGGGGGAACCAAATATACTACCCAATTCTGGCGAATTTTGCAAAATAGCAGATAAGGAGGTTGCCAAGACAAACACCGCAATCAAAAGTGTCTTGCTCGACCCACAATATAATCAACCCGACAGTACGGTCACCGTGCAAGATACGGATGCGAAGGAGGACGACCACCCTACTAATTCTAATAACGCGACAAATTTGACTAATGCGAGTAATTCGATTAGTTCGATCGATGACATTGCGTCCACATTACTGTGTCCTGTGGGGTGTGGCGCTTGGCTGGCAGAGTGTCATATGAGTCGACATGTCGATCAACACTTTGCACAAAACACCGCCGTGCAGCAGAGAGACGCGAAGAGGTACGATTGTGTATTCTTGTCATTGGATGCGTTCGTTGCTACATTCTTATTGTATATTCTGTATATATGTACAGGTAGAAATATCTATATAT